GTCGCAAAAAAAATAAGGTCGGATACTTTTCTCACAGGCCTCGTATATGCTCGGGCCATGTTGGATTTTTCCTGGTAGATGTAGTAATAAAAACAAGCCAACACATATTTTTCAATTCTACAGCCTTAGAGGCAGAATTATAGCAAAGGCTGCCAAATTTTAACAAACAATGCATCATACAGGACCTATATAAGCTCATAGACTAAGACTTATTATTATTGAATAATATTTTGATTATTTGCCAATTACTCATGAGTGCCCTCAGTTTTCATTACTATATCATCAGCTATTATGACCAACCTTAAATTCCATGTGTTTAATAATTAAAGACATAGAAAATGTACTGTGACAGCTCATTTACTGTGGAAGTTGCCATTTCTCTCCCTCTCTATCTCTTTTTCTGGTATAGCATAAGATACATTATATTTGGACAACAAGGGACCTTCTGGTCCTTCAAGGCTGTCCTTGCACACCCATCATTGAGTTAAGTAAAATCTAAATCCACCCATTATTTTTTAGGAAATCATCAATTCCCCTAATAAACTCTTATAAAGTGCCAGCCTCCTCAATAGCCGACAGCTGTTCATTCCATAAGACAGTCACAATGTTAGAAAAATAAAACTACAGACTAGCTCATCTTATCCAAATCTTCAACTACTGTCCACTGGTCCTATTGTCTTCAGAATATAGCACAAAGAACTCTAAGGCCTTTATCCTATCAATCTCCTGGATGATATTTTAAACTTCAATTATACCGCCTCTTACTGTTCTTTCTTAAGAGAATATAAGTTATTGATTTTAACTCTTCCATCTCAAGAATAATCGTAGTCTCCCTCCTCTGACCTCTTTCTTTACATGGAAGAAATGAAAGAATTCAAATTTTTACTATTTTTAAGTGCCCTCTTTATTCATATGCTGATTTATGATAGAAAAAAGATTTTATTACAAATCACAACAATTAATATAAATAATTTATAGCCACTAATTATATTAAAGACACAAAACACTTTATTAGTACGAATATGAAAAAACAACATATTGACTAACATGTTATGTATGTACATGTATTAAGCATCAAAAATATTCTTGCAACTAGTAAAGCTTTTAATAAACTACATCATATTCAAGTATTAGTAGTCTGAAGTACTACAAACTTTCTGAAATAATTCTCTCTTTTTTTTTCACATTAAAAGAAAACTAGTAACAAATAGGTGTGCTCATCTGAATAACAAACACTGAAAGCAAAAAATCTTAAAATATACATAGAGTAATGAAGTCATATTAGTTATTACCTATCCAAGTGGACATTCTTTAAAAAATTTTTAAAGCAATACATACTAAATCCTACATATTTTTCATTAACTAGTTAATTTTGGGAACTTTAGATTAAATTCAAACTCATTCTTAAATACAAGGTTGAGTATATTATATTAAAAAAAATTTTGAATATACAAATCAGCAGGTCAAATGACAACTACAGCTATATAAAGTTGCAATGGAATGGCACGTATCAGAACTCCATTTTGATATTGGTTGCATTATATACGTAGTAACTGATCACTTTTGAGATGGGTATGTAACAGCTCTTTCCACCACTAATTTTGCAAAATATTTATACATTCAGATCATATAGTTGTGTTCAGATCTGGGATTTAGAATTTCCAAGATAGGGATGTTCCTTATACTTAATGGCATTAGAAAACAAAAGAATATGGGTACCAGGACCATACAGGAAGAGAACTGTAACAAGTCTACCCTGTTCTACAGTTGTGGTAAGCAAGGTGTGACATAACAGGTGGAATCCACAAACACAAAGGTCAGTGGCAAGCCATTCATGTCACCAAGCAATAATATGCAACATAATCAAGAAGAATCACTATCTGCAAAAACAACACAAGTCATGTTTATTCAAGTGACTTTGAAGATATATTGGTTCAACTGTCACATGATTCAAGTAGTTAGAGAATGAAATGTCTGTTTATGCTCTTTCATATGAAGATATATTATTCAAGTGGCTGGATAAAGCATAAACGCATTTCTGTGTAACCGGACTGTTTAAATGGGCATTGGGAAACTGTTGTGTCAATAAATTAGATGGATTATGGAAATTTGCAGTGGAAAAAAAGATGTGCTCTGAACTTAACAGTCTTATGACAGAGCTTTTTACAACTAAAACTACACTGGAGGGCTATTGTCAAGATGCACAGATAATGCTTGACCTGATTTGGCAACATGAACTGTTATGATGGGGTGAGACAAGGTACTCACAACACCTGTATATGGTGTCTTTTTAAACTACACCTGTGAAATGAATTCTTACTAAATATGTATAGTACTGAAAATCACATTGGCATTTCAGACATTCATACATAAATATGTCAACCTGAAGTATTTGTAAATTGGCTTAATGAGATAAAATCTGTTTATATAGAAAATTGCTTTAATTTGGACAACAATATTGATCCTACTACAATTAATGAGTAACAGTACTTTAATTAACCTAACTACAGGTTTCAAAGTATCACCAGCATCACAATATAATTATGAAAGAAGAGTACAGAAACGAAACTACAATTATAAAATAAATCTTGTGAAATTTCAAATCAGTTAAAGCTACTGAAATATATATATATGCCTAGTCCAAAACATGAATCTTTAATCCTAGTCTAAACACAAATCATAAAATCACTTTTAACCACTCCCCTGGGTAAAACTCTAAACATTACCATCCTATAAAAGCAATCTAGAAATGCCATTTAAAATGTGGAATAAAATGTAACATTTCTGCTTTTTTCTTTGAATAGGACAAAATAGTGATGTTTTTTAAAACAAAGTTACATGACTGGAGCAACTAATATCATGTTGAAGTTAAAACTCAGATAACATTATAATTTTTCAACAGAAAAAAAATAATAAATAAAAACTAATTATTTTACTGATTATAAACAAAAAACCCTAATAACTTAATGAGTAAAGAAATAAATGAATTGTGATCATTTTAGAATTTTGTGCTCAAATATACATAAGGGCAATTTTCACACAGTTGTCCCTCATTTTGAATAGATAGAATAGAGGGAAGGCAGCTGAACAGCATGACCCACCATCAACTCTTGGGACTTGACTATAACTTATGGTTTCACATTGCAAAGCACATTTCTACACCAACTGAACACGAAACATAAATCCTTAGATTCAATCTAAGCACCCGGAACCAATACAGACAACACACATAAAACTAGCACTGGAAATCACAACACGAGGGGTACAAGCATTGAGTACAGTAAAATGTGGAAGTTATAATCCCAAACTACAAGCCTGGATGTCTAAGACCTACTCTTGAAGGTTCTCTATCAATTAAAAACTTTCTCAATCTGCAACTTTGAAGAATAAAAACTACTTTCTCGTAACCCTTGAAAGCTATACAGTTTGTTTTGAATTTCACGCAAAGCTACACGAGGGCTATCTGCACTAGCCTTCCCTAATTTAGCAGTGTAAGACTAGAGGGAAGGCAGCTAGTCATCACCACCCACTGCCAACTCTTGGGCTACTCTTTTACTAATGAATTGTGGGATTGACCATCACATTATAATGCCCCCATGGCTGAAAGAGTGAGCATGTTTGGTGGGACGGGTATTCGAACCCGCGACCCGCAGATTGCGAGTCGAGCTCCCTAACCACCTGGCCATGCCGGGCCAAAAGCTATTCAGGAGAGAGAACTTGGTTAAAACATTTCTAACTTACCTCATATTTCATTTTCATTAATACTTTTGTGGTTTTACTTATATTAAAATATTCATATTTTGTCCTATAGAATTCCAAAGTTAGTTCCCAAACAGAAACATTTTATAAGTTATCAAAGATTTTATTTCAATATATTTTTCTTACTTCCTTACCAAAACAAGAACTCGCATAAAATAAATATTTAATTCACTAGCTCCTTTTTTAAAAAGAGAATAATTTTTAATTAAATTAGAAATGCTCAAACTGATGTTCTCTCCTTTGAAATTTCAGGTTACCATAACCAATCCTCTTCTCCAATGTTTACCAGAAATATTACAACCACCAAGTTTCATACAAACTTGATACATATTTTCTAATAGGTAAAATAACAAAATATTTCCAAATTCATGGTAGATGACGCTTCAGTTGAGGAGGTCTCAGCTTCCAAGTTGTTCTTGTAAGGAATGATGCAACACTGTTGAGAATCATAACAAAAATTGTAGTTGTCATCACAATAACATAATGGCTAATTGAGGTTCCAATGTCCAACCAGCTTCCTGTGTCTGTCACCATGAAGAAGAAGTGCTAAATAAAATAAGCAACAATATTAATACTTCCATGCATTATAAAGAAGAACATGATTAAAATAAGAAATGGTTTGTGTGGCTGTTAATTATGATAAATGTTGTAAAGATTTGTCAATTCTTAATTTGTTGAAATGCTGCCTGTAGCCACTAAATTATAGAGATGATCCAAATTCTCTGTAAATAAAGATTTTGTTTTCATTTTAATTTGTTATTTAAAAGGCTTACAAATATATACGAGAATTACCCCGTTTGAATAATACAACAACCTCACAGCATAAATATTTTAAAGTATCAATATGGCTGAAAATATCAATGACAGTGGGGGTATTCAACTAATGAACTATGCTTTTTAATGACTACAAGTTTCTATAAGTTTTCTTTTATGACAGTAAACACTCAGTGTTAGGCTGGTGTATAGAACTAGCTGCATCATTTATTAATTTGTTTTTTATTTCTGTAACTTGCTGCTTTTATCCGAAGTAACAGATAATTACCAAAACTTCATTTCCAGTTTAAAACAGATGGAAATATGGTAATTTATTGTATATTTCTGTGAAAATAATATGAAACCATCTAGTCTATTATATGCTTAAACTATTTTATCATATATTAAAAAATGACATGAGATTTTGAAAACTGATGATGTAAAAAAAATTTACCAATCCCATGAAATCAGACATCAGTAGCACAAGCAAAAAAAGAGCTTTATTTGGAATCTTCAGAGTAACCAGAATACCTCGAAAGGCACAGCTTACAATTAAGAAAGGAATCATTATCTAAAAGAAAAACAGACAAACATTATTCCTTAATATTTAAGTATAAAACAGAGCCTTAAACTGTGCAATTTTAAATTATAACACAAGTTTGGTTTAATAAACATATTATAAATTTATATATGATACGGCTATTTGGTAGAAAAATGGACCTTGTTCCTTGTGTATCACGTGTTGTAGAAATAAACAAATTTTAGTGTATTTTTAGGTGAGGTGTGTCCTAGATGAATGCCACACACTTCCACACTGTTGAAAAAAATCGATTGTTTTTTTAAAGTGTTACATTGCTGAAGAAAATTTTAACTTTACATTAACCATTCCAGTGCTTTTGGTACTATATGATGTTTGAAATTCAGTTTTTTACTTCCATTTTCTTTTTGTCTGTTTGGTGTGACCATTATATTTAGTGAATAAAATCAAAATTGTGAAGCATAAAAATGTGAAAATTAGACACTTTTATAAAAAAATCACTATCAGTACATCTGCAAAATATCCTAAGGCAAAATGGAGGATAAAAATAATTTATTCTACAAAACTAAAACTAAGTTTTAGCATCTTTAACCATTGCTTGGAAAGGAAGAAAAATATTAACAAGTTAGTATTTTACACTACACCATATATAAAGATTTTAAAATTCTTTCTTTAAATTTTTATTCTCAAAGTATCAAAAATAGAAAATTTTAAAATATAATAAATATAATGTTTGAAAAATAACTTGTATTAAAAAGTCCAGAATTTTTCTTTTATTAACATTACTTGTAAATGAAACACATTCCACAATATGAAAATTTAAAATGAAACTTTTACAACTATTTTTCTTACCTTTATGAGAAGCAGAAATCCCATTACAAAAGGATTAAAAACTGTGAGAAAACAGTACACACTAGCAGGTTCGAAACTACAAAAAGAATAGTCAAAAATTGATTTATATTAGCACATAATATATCCAAATGTGTAGATGAAACCATAAATACATACCAGTAACCAAATGACAAACCAGCCATAATATCACTCAACAATTCCAAAACTTATAACAAATTGCAGACAGCTCCTTGATGAAAGTATTTTTTTAGACATTAGGCCTACAACCAATAGTTAAAGATAATAATAAATAATCACAATAGGGCATAGTAGACACACTAGATTCCAAATATAAATTATGAATAACATTTCCAATTTAATGTGTAGATTCTTCTAAAACCTTCTGTTCATGATTGATTATTATAAATTAAAATATTCAAATAAGAAAACAAGTCTTTACAAGTATATACAGTTATGAAAATAATTATGGAAGCATACAGGTGATACACATACAAGTGACACAAACAATGAGCAATTGTAGCTAAATGGTCAATTCATCATTACTACAATACACTATTACAAAAAATACAAAAGAAAAATAAATAGTAAAATTATCTAATATTTTGTATTTGCTTTAAACATAGTAATACATCTTACTTTTATGCTACAAGTTTATCAACATATGATTGTGAAATATTTTGCCAAATATTCTTTTTTTTATTCCCCACAATTTATCCAAAAAAGTTTTCTATCTAATGGACTGCTCCTACTTAATTTTAGTTGCATGACATTTCTGCTTCTTTACTGAGACTTTCTCCAGGTTGAAGTTGAAACTGTTAATTGTGTAGTGTCTTTTTTGTTGCTTGGCACTTTTCTGTGATAAAGGTCCTTAATGTGTACTTGTTTCTCTATGCAAGTAGACGTATCTGAAAATATGATATCATTATTCCTTCTGTGTAGTTTAGCGAGAGAAGTTAACCAGAGGTTGCTGATGTCAAACTTGTAGTCTTGGTTAAGTGTAAGTTGGTTTAATTTGATATAAAGGAATTCTTTAATTTTCCAGATTTTCTAATGGTGAGCTGTGTCCTAGATGAATCCCAGCCCAACATGTCTTGTTCCTGAATGAAGGAATGAAAATGATGAATACTACTGCTGGAAATAGTCTGACTGTCTAAAGTTATATAGTCACTATGCTGGTGTGGCACTGTCTGCCTGGTTGGATGATAGCCAGTCCCAGTGTCAACTATCAATACATTACTATATTCTGGTTTAATTTATCTTCATACAGCAGAAATGAGGGGGGAGCAATCTCATAATATTTGCATTTTATACCTATTTTATTCACCGTTTCCATAATTATTTCCAATACTGATTTATTCAACACAAACAAGAAAATACATATAAAAAAATAAGTTTTCTTATACACATACATGTACAAATTAACAATACATCCAGTACAATGGGAAAAAATTCCAAAATTATAATATGGTTCATACATTAAACATATGTCAACAACTTCAAGTACTACATAACTGTGTATTTTTCATACCAAGGGTATGAATATATTCAAAGAACTAAAACAAAGTAGTTCCATTTAACTGACCTATTTACACTTGCTATATTGCCAGTTCCAAAAAAGGCTGTAAAAATGAAAAATACCTGTAATGATTGTTAAGGTCTTTTCAAAGCCATTTTACAATGTATTATTTTCTTTTCTTTCAAGCTTATCAGTACAATAAAAAAATTATCTTAAGTGAATACATTCTAAATGACAAAGAAATTGCATGGTTAACATACTATTAACTCTTTATCACCTCCACCCATACATTCACATCAGTTATGGTAATGGAAAAAAACCCTTCCATGGACAATAAAGGGCAGGGCTGTAGCTAGGCTAGGGCTGAGGGGCAATTTCCCAGAATGCAGTCCGAGCACTAAGCCTGTTATTCAATAATTTATGCAGAATTATACAGACTGGAAATTTGCCAAGGGTGGAAAAATGACTAGCTACAGCTCTGATAAATGGTTAAAAACAACACAATCAAATGTTCACCAAATTTTATTAGATGTAAAGGCAGATAAAGAACCAAATTTTTAATTTTTGATAAAGTAGTTATTTTACACTGCATATACATACACAAGCATATGCTTGAAGTCGCATTCAATATCTGTTAAAAGCTTAACTAGCTTATAAATTTTCAAGTAAGTCAAGCTATATTTTACTTGGTATTTTTGGAAATAATAAATTTGTTTGCATTCAGAATTGTAGGAAATTCATTAAACTTTTAGTAAAATCTTTTTACAAGCATAAGTAACCTTAGTTAAAAAAAAAACCTGAAAAGTTCACTCTGTCATACATTCCATTTACTCCTCCTTCATAGATTGTCTAAAAAGCAAATATTTTTAAACTTTGAGCAATATTCATAATGGAAAAATCAGAAGTAAAATATGTTATTATTTGTTTAAGTAATGTATGTTTGATAAATAGCTAACTCACTTAAACTGAATTAAAGTAAAATATATATTATGACATGTTTTAGTAATGTACCTTCACTAAGTAGCTAATTTGTTTAACCTGAATAAGAGAAGTAAAATATTGTTATAACATGTTCTATCACTGAGAGGTTTCTTTTGGCATACTTGGTAAAAATAATATCAAGTCCAGTCCAGGTAATAATAACAAATTAATTTCTTACTTCAATAATGTTTGTTGCAGCCATATACACTTGTAGGCCTAATTTTGAAATAACTTTTCAACATAAACCCTGCAACTAAATGTAGGCCTAATTTCATATACAACATTTCAATATAACCTGCGAGACATACATACAACCTAATTAGCTATAATAGGCAAACCCATAACTCACCAACTGAATAACAACAGACATGATAATTCTCACTGAACAAATTTGCTACACTGAATTGAATGACTCGTCCTGAACTGGTTACTTAGTACTCAATACTCGCTGAATATTTCACTTGTACTTATATTGTAACCGTTATACTTCCATATACAACATGAACAACTAAATGTAGGCCTAATTTCATATACAACATTTCAATATAAACTGAGAGATGTACATATAACTTAGTTAGCTTTTATAGATAAACACATAACTCACCAACTGAATAACCTAACAGACCTGATAATTCTCAATGAATGACTTTTGTCCACTGAATTGACTGCCTGGCCCTGAACTGTTTATTTAATACTCATTACACACTAGATACTTCAATCATACTTATATTGTCACTTTCATACTTCCATGTATAACATGATCCTTCTTGATTATTACATTATTATCATAATTAGCAGCTCCCTCTATCAAACATCTAAAAAAAAATTAAATTATCCAGTTTATCATTTTCTCACCTACATACTTCCAAAGGCAATCATGGTGAATGACCTTTGGCTTGGAATGCCCATCATTCATAACTGATTATTTTCAGAACATATGGCCTTTCCAAACACCTGCTTAACTTTCTTGCAGCAGGGATTGTTCAGTGATACCATGTCACTTTAATAAAATCCAGTCTTATCAGCATTCACATCATATTAAATTAAATCACAAGCTGATTTAAGTCTTTCCCAAGTAAAGTCAGATATGAAATAATTGTTCTTCACACCTACAGGAGCTCTTTGAACAGTCAATTCCTCAGGACACTTCAAAGCATTTGGTTTCGCTACACCCTAGTCACTAGGTGAAGATTTATTCCTAATAACTCTTCATATGAGTATTTCACTTCTTGGTGATACAATGACCACCCTGCCTGTTGTCAGTGGAAGTTCAACCTCTTGGGTAGTAATTGCCATGCAGTGCACAGGGAATTTCTGGTCATACAATGTGAAACTATTCAAAGCTAGCCAAAGCTCGCATTCATGTCTCCACATAAAGTCAGTTCCCATACAGTATGTACTCTTTTTCAATATCAATTACCCACACATCATGAAATAGAGAAGTTTCCTACAAGAAGAGTTACTTTCAACTTTCCTTTTGCTTGAGTTTTATTTCCAGCAATTTATCTTCTTTCATCACCATTGGTGGAAATTTCCCTCCTTTCATTACCAAATCTGGTCGAACTATTGTAACTGTAGAACCAGTGTCAATCAACATAATGATGCAAAGCTTCCCATCAATAAACCTATGGACGGTTTCGTAAAATTATGAACTTCTTAACTCATTTGGAGCAGATGGGGTATTCTCAGATAACTTTGCCACACAAGTCCAGCTAATTTCTTTTTGCCCATCTCTGGTTAGTTCTTTGTTGTTCCTTTAATCTAATTGAGCTTGAAGACTCACCTTTAGGGTATGGTCTCCTTACAGTATTAGCAACCATTCATTAATTTCAGTCTTGGCATTTATCGCTGTGTTTACCACATTTACAACAGTTCCATTTAAATGATATATTTTGGGAGAAGTTGTTATTCCTTAAATGCTTTAGTTGGCAGTTCATGGCAATATTCATTTCCAAGTTACATTTGAAATGCCTATTTCTTTGTGGTTTATTTTCTCCATTCTTTGTTACTAGTTGTCTAACTAATCCAATCAGTTCTTCTAGCCTCTCAGAGAATGATAATGTTTCAATACTACTCCATCTAACAATACTGTAACTTTCAGATTGTGTGTTGAGTTGTTTACCTGCAACTTTAAATGATTCAAGCTCCATTGCCAACTGGAGAACTTCCTTTAAGGATGTACACATACTTTGCTTCAACATAATTTTCATATTCTCATCTGTTATGGCATTTATTAATTGTTGGTCATGTGCCAACAAATCCACCATTTCACAAGAAGCACCCAGTAAGATAACTGGGCAAGTCTTTTGGGAGTTTCACAAGTTCAGCTACAGTATCTTCTTTCTTCCCTACTCTGTTCCAGGACTTTGCTCTGGATACTTCTTTCTGAAGTGTCACTTCACTCTGAACCTGTTGGATAAGGCTGCTACAAATACTTGATAGTTGTGATAACTCTCAGCTGGAAGTTTATTTAATGTCATTAAAGCTGGTCCTTTTAAATGGGCAGCAATATGAACAATATTGTTCATTATTTCATCCATTCACTCTGGAAATTATTTTGAACTGAGTCTGGTATGCCTCCCATGGAACATTTCCATCATAGTCTATTAGTTTCTCAAGTGGCTAATGTTGTTGAAATAGCCAGCTAAGTTCTGGAACTTGATTTGGTAGTGTCATGGCTGGAGTAGTTCAGGAAAGTCTTGCAATCATAGTTGGCATAACAGTAGTATTAACAGGTGTAGCTCAAAAAGATTTTCCTATTCCATATTTATTAGTAAATGGTTTCTTACATTTGGTGCACGCAGAAAGATGCATGAACAGCTTGATATTTGCATTTACCAATTCTTTTTCCAAATGTTTTATTCTATCACTGATTTCTTTTTGTACTTCTTTGACTTTTTCATTACAGCCTTACTTCTTGAATCTTGTTGTTGAATCCCTCTGTACATCTCCAATAGCTTTATTGATCTTGTCTTTAATCATATGTATTTTTGCTTTTAATTCTTTTTTAAATATTACAATGGTCTATAAATTTCTACTTTGTCTTCTTTTATTTTTCTAGCTCTTTCTTCAAGACGTTTTTTGTAGTTGCTTATAATTTCTAATAAACTTTTGATTTAGTTTCTTGCCCGAGTTGTCATCTTGAAGTTTAGTCAAGTTCTATTATATTTTCACCCAAATAATCCCACTTCTGACACAAATGTTATCATTAGGCAGATTCTTTTTGATTATTTGACAAAAATAATGCCCAATCTAGTCCATGTAACAATGAATTTACTTTATTTCTTCAGTAACATTTGTTACAGTCATATTCACATGTAGGTTTAATTTTATAAATAACTTTTCAACATAAACTATACAACTAAATGTAGGCCTAACTTCAAATACAACATTTCCATATAAACTGCAAAAATAGATCTAACTTGATTAGATTCGAAAGATAAACACATAACTCACCAATTACGTGAATAACAAAACAGATGTAATAACTTTTACTGAATAACTTTTCTGACATTGAACTGACTGACTGTTCCTGAACTGATTAGTCAATACTTATTACTCACCGAGTACTTTACTTTTATTTATATTGTAACTTTTGTATTTCTACATACCAAGTGAACATTCTCATTTATTACATAATAATCGTCATTAGCAATTCCATCTAGCAAATAACTAAATTAAAATACTGAAAATACAGCTTACAACAATACACATTATGATTTTAGTAACGTACTTTCACTAAGTAGTTAACTTACTTAATCTAAATGAAAGTAAAATATATAAACCATGAAAGGTTTTAGTAATGTACTTTCACTAAGGAGCTAATTTACTTAGTCTAAATAGTCTGTCAGTTTCTAGAAGTTTCACAATGCTGTGACCCAGCAGTATATTTCCTCCAGTAAAACTTCTTGTGCTACATAATTTAATCATGAACGGTTGTATTTTACCAATCATATACACATAATGTATTTGTTTATTGACATTAAATTAGAAAGCAGTAATTTGTACAAATACTGTTTCAATTTTTGGTTGCTTAAAGTTTCTTACCAAACTTTCTATTCTTGATTTTTTTTTTTATATTTATCATTTGTAGCCAAATCTTACCTGAATAATCTATTGTCAAACATTTAATCTTCTGTTGACATAAACTGAAATAAAATTATAATAAATCAAGCAGAAACTAATGATGTAATCATAAAAAGTTTGAGAAAAACATTTTTCTAGCTAATGTATTCTAAACTTAGTATACCTCATTTTCATTATGGAAGGCCACTATGATGGATTTCAGTTTCTTGTTGTTTAGTGTGTCATGTAATATTTTAAACATTGTCTTTAGTTGAGGAAAAAAAATATCTTCCTAAAATTCGTTATTAATTAATCAGTTATTGTTTAAATGGAATTAGTATTCTATGTACTTAGAAACAAAAGTTATAAGGTTGCAAGTAAACAACAAACAACTGAGAAAACTATTCCTCAGAAAAGCTTACACATAGACAATATAAAATTAACAACTGAGAAAAATATCTCTCAAAATAGCCTACATACAGACAATAAACAACGAATAACAGAGAAAAATATTCTGGAGAAAGCCTACAAGTAGAAAATAAATATTGAACAACTGATAAACAAAAACTGAGGGAGACATTCATAGAGATAAAACTGGTGGTTCTCAACTAGTTTCTAATTTATAGTTGAATGAAAGTCTTAAACTATGGAACAAACATAAAAAAGTAAGGATACAAAAAAATAGGCTCTTCTGAAGTCTTGAAGAGTCAAACTTTGCACTGGGGACTTTCTTTGTTGAGATGATATTGATCCCAAAAATATGACATCTTGAAGCTTCAATAAAAATGCAAAAAATATAAAGTTAGACTTGATGATCTCAACTGTCTTCAATTAATGTATATTTTACATATATTTCATTGTAACTATATGAATTTGTTCTTTAAAAGAAAGTCATATCCAAAAAGTAGCTGCATCTTGTTCAAGTCTTAAAGTGAAAATGGAAATTAGTCAATGTGCATTGTAAAAGCAAGGACCAAATATTAAATTATAGTTCAAAATCATCAAATTTTACTAATCATCAAATTGTATGGTGAGATGACTATGGCATATGTTTGTAAAATGTTATGACAGTAGAAAGTTTGGACAATATTTCACTGTGTGATATAAAAATATAGCACAATTAACCCAAAAATTAAACAAACAACACTGAAAAGGAGCAGTATGTGCTAACAGAGCAAATTCCCAAAAATGTCATTGAAAAAATTTTATTTTTGCTTATTTATTGAATTTTTTGTTTGGATGGAGTGGATCTACCACGTATAGCCCTTCAACTGATACAGGAAGCCTGAAAGGGTGTAGTGGATCTACCACGTATAGCCCTTCAACTGATACAGGAAGCCTGAAAGGGTGGAGTGGATCTACCAAGTATAGCCCTTCAACTGATACAGGAAGCCTGAAAGGGTAGAGTGGATCTACCAAGTATAGCCCTTCAACTGATACAGGAAGCCTGAAAGGGTGGAGTGGATCTATCAAGTATAACCATTCAACTGATACAGGAAGCCTGAAAGGGTGGAATTGATCTACCAAGTATAGCCCTTCAACTGATACAGGAAGCCTGAGAGGGTGGAGTGGATCTACCAAGTATAGCCCTTCAACTGATACTGGAAGCCTGAAAGGGTAGTGTGGATCTACTAATTAATTCTTCATACAAGTATATTACCTATTCACCATGTGTACATAACTGTTAACTCCCCTAGTCTACTCTGTGATTATCTTTAGAAGTTAAACTCTGATCAAACTAAATACAAATCCACATCTGTGTTACCACAGCAAATACTTTATTAATTGGCATTCTCAACCTAGTTGGTGCCATATGTAATGCATGGGCTGTATGACCAGGTCAGAGATCTCAAGATTAAGTGTAACCAGTTAGCAGTCCTTGAGACCTACATGGCAACTTTTACAGAATTGCTAAATTGATTGTCAGTTATAAGTCCTCCACAGCTGAAAGTGTAGTGTGTTCAGCAACTTATCACACCTCAACTCTTGTACCCATTAACCTGCATGATCGAACACTAACCACTAGGCCATTCTTCGCCAAGCAGGTGCTTAACTACTTGAGTTTTTGTGTCTGAAATACCTCTTCACATATTGTTTCCTGTTTGATTCAATTAGTGTTTACAGATCAGGATACATTCTGAACAAAAGAATACATGTATGACAGTAAACTTGACATACATAGTGACTAAGAAATTAAATAAAATATTAAAGCACAACATGGTAAAATAAAACAAACACTTACATGATAGTGAAGATGAGACAGACGATGTTCCACACACAGCCATAGAAACATCAGGATACACAGACACAGACCAAACAGTCCTTCATGACTGTTTATAAAACCAAGTATTAGAAACGATTCTGTTACTTTAAATAGTGAACTTCAACCTACTTTCTACTAATCTATTGGGCCAAATTAACTACCACTGTTATATTTATGTGGAAAAATTTTGTACTACTGAATTAAAGAAAGTTGTGATTAACATCACAACTGGCAAAAAATAACAGAAGATATCCACAAACTGTGGTTTGTCAATTTATCCCTATAGTAATAACTTAATAGTTGTGGTCAGCAAACTTCAAATAGAATGCATGGTTCTTCTTTTTTTTATCATTATAGCTGTCAAAACAAATGAAACTCAAAATGATACAAAGACCAGAAGCAATAACTATATCACTCATCTGTAACAAACAGGTGTTTCTTATTGATATTCTAAATTTTTTATAAGAGTTGTTTTGTCAGAGCTGTACAAGAAGTGTCTATACAGAGATTTCAATACTAAACAAAACTTTTACCATTTGTAAATGTAAGATGTTCTCAAACAAAAGGTTTTATTAATACAAATATGAAAATATTTTTGGTTATTGCTAAACAGAAGTGATTCATCATATTTAAACAAGTAGATTAGGAAAATTAGATAAGCCACAACTGAAGAAATCAATAACTTGAGCACATCTGGAAAGAACTTCTTTCTTTTATAATTAATTCAAAGGATTAATTCACTCCTATAGAAGGAAAGTCTAACTTCCAAATGCACTGTGGTTAAGAGGTTTACTGTATTATTTAATAATATAAAGTGAAATATTAATCTATTTTAAGTGTTAATATATATATATAATCATATGTAACTGTACAAGTAATATTAATATACAGAGCATGTAAAGTTCAATCAATGCAGCCAAAAAAAGAAAACTAATTCAAGACAGAAAGAAATAGCAAGCTCAGATTGGTAGAATTATTTATTTAAAAGTTTCTCATTAAAAATACTAACAAACAGTTATACCATTGAAAAGAAGGTTTACCTTATCCAAGCTACAAGCTCTAAGAAATTATAATAAAAATATGAGATTAGATGGTCACCTTATAAGTGGTACTAGCTTTGAAAAATAATAGTGTATGACTAAAAATCTACATTATACATGGCACAAACTCTAACAAATAATATGCAAGACTACATAGTTAAAGAAAAATAACAATACGCAAGATGTAATTATTACATTACACACAGTACAAATTTTAAGATATAATAGCACATAAGACTTGATGGGTACCATGTAAGGTACAATATCTAAGACATAATACTAGACAGTTACCTTACACACAGTAAGAGGTAAGTTCCTACGAGAGAAGCTGCAACATTCAGAAGCCGAGTCAGAACGTATGGAGATCCAAAGACAGGCAGAGTTGGAAGTATAACTTTGATAAAAGAATCATATTAGCTTGTTATGGTCTCCAAAAAATTCAAGACTTCATTTTGCATTTTATTTTTTATTTTCAAAGTAAATGAAAAAGTCATGTATTGTTTCAACTGTCCATAACAATTTACCTTAAAACATCAGTGTGTAAATATTTTCAATCGGGTATGTATCTAACTATGTATTTTAAATTTCAGATAGAAATATTTAACTTCACTAGTTGTTAGGTATTTAATATAATTAATATGATTATAACTTATGTACACATCACAACTAAATACTAAGAAACACCTTGCAATGTCAGCAATTAAACAGGATGAATCTGAGATTAGTGACAGGGGGTAAGCAAACAGGTTAAATCTCACATTACCTATAGGAGTAAGCAAGCAGGTTAAATCTGAAATCAGAAATGTAAGTAAGGAAATAAGTCATTAGCAAAAGGAGTAAGCAAGCAGGTTAAATCTGACGTTACCAAAGTAAGTAAGGAAAAAAGTTAGATCTAACATTAGTAATGTGAATATGGAAACAGGTTAAATCTGACATTTGTAACAGGAGTAAGCACACAGGTTAAATCTGATATACTATATATACCAGTTGATATACCCATTAAGTGTACGAGGAAGACACGAGAACCCCTGGGGTGACATATGGGGGTCATATCCAAATGCCTAAACCCATGTCACTCCCTGGGAGCCCTACTGATACATGTCAGGTCTGGTGACAACCAGTCAAGACACACACACACACATAAAGAATTTTATTTAATAATAGTTTAGATAGTTGTTTCAACAGCCTTTTTTCTATATAAAGTTATTTCTACCTAATATAATCCATGCCACCAGCTGGTTCAACAATGGAAGGCCTTCTTTATTCTCAATACTGGCTGCAGTACTTCTGATGGTAAAACTACCAATAATAAGTAATACCACCTGAAAGTGGGAAATAATAAAAACACTAGACATTTTTGTTTGAAAATGTAGTTTCATGAGATTCTTAGTATACAGATTGTAACTCAATGTTGTTGAAAAACCACCGTGTAATGTATACTAAGACATTTCCTCACTCATCTATTAATGTAAATGTAAAATTGATTAAGTAATAAGAATATATTAATGTCCAAGCACTTCATGTTAATCTACAGTAATTCAGCCATATAAGATTAAATAGAAATATCCATTTTGTACAGTTCCAACTCACAAAAGCTAATACAAACCTACATTTAATAACCACATGTGAATATTACAAAGTTGATATATCTTGTTCCACTTTTAAGTCTAGTACAAAATTCTAATTTATGAAGGAAATTTACATGAAATTGTAGTGTACCAAATGAAGCTGTGGTGATAAAACTCAGAGCTAAATTTTACATAATTTCGTTAGCTGCTGCCATCAAGCCAGATATTTATGCTTATCCACTTTGTGCTACTCAGAAGAAAGTGAGTTTAATTTGTAAATGTTGTACTAACCTGAGCAGCTGTAATCAAAGCATTTTGATTAGATTCTCCCTTTCTATGTGAAGTGTTGATTGCAATACCAACTTCAGGTCTAAATTCATTAAGTACATAAAAAACTCAATATTAGAGGAAAATGGCTTATTACACATAAATCTTATGTTTAGCCTAAAAGTAAAGAGCATTATAACATACTGATCAAGAAACTGGACTTTTATCATTCAAGCATATAGTTGTGCTCACTGTTAACAGTTTTGTTTGTTTGTCAAAGTTTGTGCAAAGCCACTCGAGGGTTACCTGTGCTAGCTGTTCTTAATTTTGAAGTGACAGACTAAAAGGGAAGGCAGTTAGTCAACACCACACACTGTCAACTTTTGGGTTACTCTTTACCAAAGAATAGTGGGATTGGCTGCCACATCATAACACTCCCATGGCTGAAAGGGTGAGCTGCATGTTTAGCAAGAGGTTTCTAGCCCACAACACACAGACTGTAAAGTCAAGCACTCTGATCATCAGACCATTCCAAGTCCAAACAATAGGGCACCTGCACTTTGCCCACCATGGGTATGAAACCCTTATTTTCATTAGTATAAAGTCTTGAATCTTACTGCTGAGCCCACCAGGGAATGGGATGGGGAGACAGTTAAAGGTTGAAATTGTATGTATTCTTGCTTTTGGATACTTGCACAAAGCTCCTCAAGGACTATAATAGTCATCCCTACTTTTGAACTAATAGACTAGAGGGAAAGCAGTTAAACAACAGCACTTACCACCAACTCTTGTCTGACTGGAATTTTATCATTACCCCTACAACCCATTCACAGGCCCAAAGAGTGGAATGTAATGTTTTATTTATTTTGTGGTAAAAGGATGCAAATAATCAACCTGCAATACATAGTTCAGCAAACTAACCACTTGCTGAGCCAGTTTTGGTCCAACATATTAAGAAGGAACAGCCATAAACCCTTGAAGAGAATTGTTTTTACAATCACAACAGTTCTTTCTGCAAATAAAATTTTTTCTAAATTACATTTATTTCTTTTTAAGGAGACTCATCATAAATTAATTCTATGAAACGTAAGAAGTGTGATAATATGATTTAGACTTATCACGTATGTTTTAAAAGTTTTAGTAGCTTCTTCATATCATACCATCTTATTAAAAAGAAGAAAACGGAGCAAAGCTACAAGAAACACCTTACAAACTAGTATGAAATTTTCATAAATTTCATCACTTTACAATTTTTATTTACGATAAAATGAAATCAAAGTCTTTAATAAATAATCACTCTCAAAAAACAACAAAACAAAATATATTCATCTCTGATGTTAAAAAAGACTAATACAATGTGGTATAACATATACATCCAGCTAAAGTTTAGAAACAAGAGGTATATTTTTAATATATACTTATCTACAAACTTAAATATTGCAAACAACAGATTCAGTACATATATTTAACTATATTGCATCTACAAAATAAGTATTTCATGTATTAATTTATTTCCAAATACAGCAACACCTGATAGAATTAGAAAACTCACCTCTTGGCACAATAACCAGTTATCATGACATTTAAAAATCCTGCCAGAGCACTGGAGAAAAGAAACCATTATGTCTACTTATTTACTACATTAATAGTTTTTTAACAATTTAGATAATTAAAATAAGAAACAGTATCTATTATTTTCATGGGTTTATTAAAAACATGGTGTTTTTTTAATATAAAAATAACAACTAGACAGGTTATTTGTTACTTAGCATTATCAAACAAGAACTCTATACAATACAGTTAAATTCTAATTAAACTAAAATCCACACTTTCTTGGAATTTGACACAAAGACTGATTCAGCACTGAAACTGATTTCAGTCTTTGTGCCAAAGTACCAAAAAAAGTGTGGAATCTAGTTTAGTTTTATCTCATATACGCAGTATGATGTACTCAACATTATATTCTGTTATTTTCTAATTCAGGTTTTTATTATTTGATAATACTCAATAAAAGTATCTACAAAATATAACGTGCTTATCATTTCTATACACAATACACTAAATTCCATTGTGTTTAACTTTAAGTATACTAAAAATATATAATATACAACTCAGCATCGTAAAATGCTGAGTTGTTTTTGCAACTAATGGAATAAGTGGATTTAATAGTGAAATTTATACACTCTAAACAAAAAAAAATTTTAAATGTGAAAGATAAGCAGTGAAAGTAATGATGTCTAATAGCATGTTTGTTCTTGTAGTATAGCACTACAATAAAAACAATAGTTTGAAGTGAACTACATATAGGCCTTAAATTGTCAAACAAAAACAAATTAAGGACAAATACTATTAAGAATAACAATGAAGTTGAGCCAAAATGCAAATTATATATTTTTGAGCATTATCAAAGTGAGTTGTGGGACACATATTTAAGATTCTATATTGCAACCTTTCCTGATATTCACACGCATAAAGCATTTGTAACTTCTCTCTGTGAACATATTTTAGTAGAGGTATGAACTGTTCAATCCTTGGAAAGCTAAATTATTAAAATCCACAAACAAACAACGTTTTATAATACACAATTAAAATCATTATTTAAACTGATCAACAGTTCTAAAAGTCACTCCACATGTTTCAACGTGGTTTTACGTCATCTTCTGGAGTGTGAAGAACAGTTACTGTCTACTACATAAATACAAAAGCCGTGGTCATGAGACAGTAGTTTACAATTCAAAAATGAAGATCATGCCATCTACATAGTTTCTGATTTTCTAACCCTTCATCCTTATTTAAGATCAAGTTGTTTTTACTGTGTTTCATTATTTCAATGGATTCACTAATATTTCTAGCAGTCATAAATATACGTTTTTTTCCCCAATGGATGATATATCCAGTATAGTTTACATGTTCAGAGAAATAACTCTTTACTGAACAGAGACACTAAAATGAAGAAAGAACTAAATGAGTTGGAACTGCTACCTGAAGCTTACTTTAACTTAATAAGAAATAGAAAAAATAATTAACAGATCCAATATTGTATTAAACAATAAACAGATTGATGTAACTTAACAAGGGTATGGGATTTGCTTGTAAACCAAAAATGTTCGGGATGAAGATTTCATCACAGAAGGAAAACAGGTTTGAGGTACAAATAAAGATGTACAAATCTTAGTCATTAAACAGTTTGGATATTGTAATTTGTAAAGCTGATAAAGTTGGTCAAATAGTTATCCAAAAGAGGACTATACTAAGAATGTTGAACAGTTACTAACGATGGTATATATTAAAAGGTTAAAACCAACCCTCTTAACAGACTTCAGGAATTGGTTAAAGAAAAAATTAAAGACTGTATAAGCCTAACTCTCCCCAGAGGAAAAAATGGTTGGTTCCAAGTAATTTTGTAATTCCAAGATCTTATGCTTTACCAAAAGTTCACAAAATAGGAGATTCCTATAGACCCACAGTTTCAAATATAGGTTCATCCTTCTACAACACAGCTAAATTTTTAGCATGTAAGTATTCTTTCTTGTGTGATAATAACACTTTTACCATTAAAAAATCCATAAATTTTTTTAACAAATATGTAAGGTGAATTCTAAATAGTAATGATATGCTTGTATCTTTTGATATTGTATCACTTTTCAGGAACGTTCCTGTTGATACAGGTATCAGTTGTTTTGCAGGCAAATTACATGTAAACAATGACCAGTTGTTGAAACTTTAGACATGATGAACTTAACAAAAACTTGTGTTGAAAATTAATATTTTCAATTTAATAATAATAACTATAAACAGACTGAAGGCCTAGCTATAGGTTCACCATTATCTCCTTTGTTGTGTCATCTTTTTATGGATAGGTTTGAAACTGATGCTTTACAGAATGCCAAACTTAAACCAGACTTATGGATTAGGTATGTCGATGATATGTTCATGGTGTGGTAATATGGTAAAGAGAACTTGCTAGAGTTTGATAATTACTTAAATAGCCTTGAATCCTCTATTCAATTTACTCAAAGTTTGAAGAAAAAAAAACAACTTACTGTTTTTGGACATACTTGTTAAGAAAAACAAGAATAAGTTAGAAACTATGGTTTATCATAAACCTTTTTTTGTTGTCATGCTGCTACATCAAGAATCATGTCATCCAAAGTTTAAAAAAAAAAATGTCAGCCTTTTACACTTATGTTACAAGTCTTTAAAACTATGTTCTAATTCAACAAATTGAAAAAATGAACTGTTATTTATTAAACATGTGGCATTAGATAGAGGTTTCTCAGCTCATATTGTTAACAAAATTTAACAAAATGCTGAACAAAAAAAAAGTAAACTAAAATCAATATTTGATAAAATAGATAAAAAAGAAAGGTTGTTTTTACCATATATTCCAGGTTTATCATGTCAAGGTTCATAAATTCAAAAAACAAAACAAAAATATTATTGGCATTTACAGACCATTGAACAAAATTGGTCAAATATTAAATAAATCTAAAGAAGGAGACAGGTATGTTTAACGTTTAACAGGAATGTGGTTGCTCATACACTAGTCTAACAAGAAGAAACTTAAAATTTTGAATAAATGAACATAAGAGAAATGTTAAAACTCTACATTAGCTCAACATATACATTATACAGGACATATCCTGTTGGGAAAAAACGGTTATTTTGGCTCATCCAAATAATATGACTGCTAGAAATATTAGAGAAACCATTGAAATAATGAAACACAGTAAAAACAACTTGATCTCAAATAAGGATGAAGACTTAGAAATTCAGAAACTATGTAGATGGCATGATCTTCATTTTTGAATTGTAAACTAGTGTCACATGACCATGGCTTTTATACTTATATAGCACACAATAAGTGTTTTTCACACTCCAGAAGATGTCGTAAAACCATGTTGAAACATGTAGAGTGACTTTTAGAACTGTTGATCAGTTTAAATAAAGATTTTAATTGTGTATTATAAAACACTGTTCGTTTGTGGATTTTAATATTTTAAATATATGCACAAGTTCCTTTTTTAACCTTTTAATACCTTGAAAAGTTACTTAAAGATTATTCCAACAAAATATGAAATGTTCAATTTCTGGAAAGTTTTCAGAAATATTAACACATCAAAAGTATTATTTACTGAGTAACATGAATGGATTTATCAGGATGATAACTGCAAAAATATGATATGTTCAAACCTCTGAAAACTAACTCAGAAATAGCATAATAAAACTGTGAATTGATTGTTTCACTGAAAACTTCACCCATTTATGAAAAGGAAAAATGATGAGATCATACTACACTTACACCATATTATAGTTGGCTTCTCTTCCTACAACTGGAAGTAATGGGAACACAGCCATCAGTAAGGTTGAACCAATCCATGTTAGTGTTAATAACTGAAATATGTAATAAATCTTAACACCAATACATAGTATTAATATCTACTATGCACAAATACATAAACAGTTTCCCAAAAAGCTGCATACAAATACTGAACACAGTGGTTTTGTTTCAAAATAAGATTCATAAGTACAGTTGCAAATAAGAAGCAAGTGGAGTCCACAAAGCATTTCATTCCTCAACTTCCAGTTATTCAAGAAGAACAAAAAATATATTTGTGAATTAGAAAATATAATGTGCAAAAAAAAAAAAATGCACACACATATACCCATTCATCCTACTACTTCAACTACAGTATCTAGTTTGAAATCAGGTTTTGGGTTGTGTCAGAGCTGCCAAGTATTCTCATCTCATTTATACTGTGACTCCCTTTTCTTACTACTTCATCTATGATACCTAGTGGGAAATCAGGTTTTGGGTTGGTCAGAGCTGCCAAGTATGCTCATCTCATTTATACTGTGACTCCCTTTTCTTACTACTTCAACTACAGTATCTAGTTTGAAATCAGGTTTTGGGTTGTGTCAGAGCTGACCAACATGCTCATCTTCCTTGTACTGTAGCTTCCTCTTCATATTACTTCAACTATAAAACTTAGCATGAAATCATGTTTTGGGCTGACCACAGCTGACCCATGTGTTCATCTCTTACTGAAACCTTACAGTCTCTCAGGGTGATGCAAGGCTACTTCAATATAATGCTTTACTATTTGAAAACAAGAAGTTTTACTGAATTTTCTTTCATACAAGTTTTAATGTTCCAAAAATCATTTACATTGTAGGCACAAACTATTCTTGTCCCTTGTTAATTTTTTACTGGATATTAGTCAACATATCTGACTATATTACTTGTACATATTATGGTGGTATTAGATTTTAAATTTGACTTTAAACATTATATAATATTTCATATTACACAACTCAGCTTAATTTTACCTTTACTGTTAAGACTTTTTCATGAGATAATTAGCTTTGGATTCAGTAAGAACACACCTCCAGGATAAAACAGTATGTAACACAGAAGAACATGTGCAATACTGTAGGTACATGTATAGCCTGGTTTCACAATCAACTACAGTTTAACAAGAAACATACAGTTCAATTCAAGGAGAGGTCACATATCAAGAAAGAGCATCATGTAAAGACCTTGGAAGACTGTTTCAAGTATTTGGTGAAATTGCTATTAGATAAACTTAAAGATTTCCTTAAGTATTTTGACAAAAATCAAAGAATCTTGAATGATTCTAATACAATTCAAATAATGTTTAAGAATTACAACTTTCTCAGCTTGTGTGCCAATTTCACTGGATTTACCTGAACATCAACTAAAAGCACTAATTCTTCCCTAGCTTGCATGCCAATATTACTGGTTTAGTCTGAACATCAACTAAAAGCACTAGTTCTTCCTTAGCTTGCATGCCAATTTTACTGATTTGAACTAAATATCAACTAAAAGCACCAGTTCTTCCTTGGTTTGCATGCCAATCTTACTGGTTTAGTCTGAATGTCAACTAAAAGCACTAGTTCTTCCCTAGTTTGCATGCAAATTTTACTGGTTTAGTCTGAATGTCAATTAAAAGCACTAGTTCTTCCTTAGCCTGTAGTTTTGATGCCCTGGATACAGGGAAAAGGGAAGGGGGGGGGGCAAAGTGCATATCACAATCTATTTACAATATTTGATTCAATTATTGTATTAGCAATTTCTGTCAATAAACTTGCCATTAAAATCTGGTTTATATTTCTAATATTTGCATTATTTAAGTTTTCAATTTCAAAAGAAAATATCTATATAAAGTTTGATTTTTCACTTCTTTCTGTCAAATGACCTTCTGCACGCTGAATTTTCATTCTTCTTTGATATGGGTTTCAGAATGTCCATGAACTAGATACAAACTATAGCTATTGGCATGCCAGTATATAAAATAAAAACCTCCCACCTTCTTTATTTACTGATATATCAATAAATTTATCACACCCACCAAAGAAGATCTTCCCAACTTGTCATGCCTTTAAAATCACTTATTTGCTCATGCCTACTTATCAATGGTACATGTTTATAATCAATAGAGGCCATTTTGTGAACTATGTGATTTTGACAATAATGTTTTGATTTCTTGGTGAAAGACAGTATTTCACAAGTAGATCTTGATGTGTGTGTGTGTGTGTGTGTGTAAACTAAAATTGGTGATTTGAAAAGTTATATAATGTTTTTTAACCTTCTTATAGCTTAGTTAGAAATCCAGATAAAGTAATTTTGGGACATTCTATTTTAGTGCTTGCTGTATTTTTTGTATTCTAACTAAAATATATATTTGAAAACTACACGGATTATATTCTAGACAACAAACATAAATAGAAAAAAGAAAACTTAAAAAAGCAGGCACTTGAGTGTTAATTGGTTTACAGCTAATTTTAAGAAAAGTAACTAAAATGTACAAATTAAAACTTATTAGGTTATATAAGAAAACTTATACAAAGATAGATTAAATAAAATGTTTTTTGTGTGATCACTCCTTAAGGAATGCACATAGTTAAACATTACATGATGTAACCTGAAACTTTGTTTACCCTAAACTCTCCACACTCCCTCTGGATACTTTATTGTCTATTGCAGTGGTTACACATGGTTCAATGAGCAATAAAAGAATAAAAATAAATGAAAGCAGTTGGGAACAGTTAAGAGGCTAAAAGCTATTATTGTAAATAATTGTAATTGCTTCTTACAATTTGTAGTCCCACTAGAAAAAAAAAGGTATTTTTGATTTTATTTCATATTTTTCAACTTTTGCTACAGTTGGTGTTAGGCTAGAGAAGATAAGAGATAAAGTAAAAAGTTTAACAAAAAAAAAAAACTTTTGATATTCAATTAGGAGGTTATGCAAATGAAATATGAAAACTGTAAAATGAAAAGAAGAATTTCTGTTCTTAACAAGAAATGTCACCTTTCATTCATAGAGATTCGGTAAAGACTCCAGAAATTTACAGAAAAATCTTCAGTAAAAATACTTTATTAAAAAATCAGATTTTTTGTTTACACCAAAGTTGTAATGCTTACTACAAGCTTGCCAAATTTTTGTGAAGATACAATTAATACATTCAGAGTTATGGTATTTAAACTTTGATGATTACATGGTGGTTAATAAGTTGGTCAAAATGATCAAGCCTGTATACAGAGAGTTAATTCAAATATCAGCTAAAGCATTAGTTCTTCCTTAACTTGTGTGCCAGTTTTAGTGGATTTAGTATGAATATATATTCTAAAAGAACAAGTTAGATTTACTTAACTTGTTGAGTTCTGTTCAACATAGACATTGCTTTTGAGTTTAAACATGCTTAATGAAAACAGTTTATTTTTAGATTTCATTACATGATTAATGCCACATGACAATTTATAGTTTAATATAAGAGAAGGAAATCAATCAGCTACAGGAATTGTAGAACTGTATACTTTTCAGCTTTCTTTAGATAATCAGTGCCACATGTCAGTTTGTAGTTTAATACAAGACAACAAAATATATTTACCTTATCAGTGTCTTTAAGGGATGTTCCAAGAGGCCAAAATGCTATAGCTACTAGTCCCAATGATAACATCCATCTCCTGAAGAAGGATATAACCTAGGACACATAGAATGGTATGACTCACACTTGTCTTTTTAAAAGCTTCATTAAAAGAAAAAATAAGATACACTATAAAAAGAGTTAAAAGCAAGGAAATAAAAGTATCTACACAAACAGGATATACCATACACTTTTTCACTAGCATTTTATGAATAATACAAAAGTTATGTTTTGGGTTTTTCATTAAAATTGACCTAACAACAAACTAGAAACACATTTCTTTGGTTTATTACTATAATTATTATTTTATTACTATAATTAACTAATCTACCTATTGCTAAATAATTTTTTTTAGCAGATTAAACAGCTTGTTTTATTACTAATCAGAAAATTGTGTGCATCCTTTATAAAAAAAAAGCTTTACGTACTGACACAGTACATCTTAACAAATACACAAGTTACATAACTGATGAAATTACAATAGTACACTAATCTAACTAAGAATCCATAACTCACCAACAGTTCTAGACCAAATATACCCAACACTCCTAATCCCAGTAGTTGCAGTACATAGTTGTGATGGTCCACATAAGCTTTAGCTTCTTTGTACACATTCCAACTGTAACCAGATAAATTCAATGGAATGCATTTATTAAAATCTACTCTCATCAAATTTGAAAGAAAATACCAAGGAATGGTTTAAATATATTACAACATACACGTTATTATTATATTGCAGGTTTGTTTTTCCACTCTTGTATCAACCACTATATCATAAAAACACTACAACAGTAATTCAAGTTTCCAGGAAATAACTTTGTGTATTCTTACAATTTCTGATAGAAATGGTGTGAATTTACACAAATTTTATCAACTTTAAAAAGGACAATTACCAAACAGTGTATCATAAAAGATGAGGAACTTCACAGTAACACATTAAAACTAACTACTCTGATATGAAACTGTTTTATTTACATAAGACTTTTCATATTGTATTAATTACACATAACACTATTGGTCCAGCATGATTAACCCTTTGCATTTTGCACACAGGTGGAGGTCAAAGTGCACATACCATGACTTTTTACAAAGTGTCATTCAACATGCTATTATTTATTTGATGTCAGAGTAATCAAATTTTGATTTTACCTAACATTGTTGATTTAGTGACAGTTCATGGTAGGTGATTAACTACCAGATATAATGTATAGGAATACTGAAAAAACTGTAGTTATGCATTTCCAAGGTTCTAGAGGTTATGCAAATGCAATATTCAAACTGTATGATGGACAAAAGTACACTTATTCTTCACATAAACATCACCTTTCACTCCAAGTTGTCAGTCTAAATCAGACTGACATCTACAAATACTTTTCTAAAACATCCAGTTCTTTAGTGTACAGACTTGTACATTTTACTCAAAGCTTCTTACATTCCATGTAGATACAAGTAGTAAATGGAGAATCATAGACAATATTCCTTCTACATTTGACCAACCCAGTGCACATTTGGTTAATAATGCTGAAAACTTAACAATTTATGTTATTTTGTACCCAACCATATAGCTATATTATAGACTAAACTTACTTGACAGCAACCAGAGTCCACAACAATACTGGAGACAGAAAATACAGATAGTACATTGTAGGGGCATTCTGCACTGAAATTTTAAGATATATTTAAATTATTTTTGTTATCACACTCTACAAGAACATCATAAAATGGTTTATTAAATAGACTATACTTCTGAGCAGACAATTTGCCTGAAAGTATTAGGTTGGGACAATGTTTTATCACTTTGAATCTGTCTTCATTGTGCAAGAATACTGATACATTGTCCAGATTTAACCATCCATTAAGAAGTACACACCAAAAATTAACACTTGATATCTATCTAAGAAGAATCTATCAACCATTATAGTTTTATATTAAAATCAAACAACTAGAAAAGAATAAAATCTTTTCTACAACAAGTGTGAGTGGAGACTGATTGTTTTGGATATTCACACAAAGCTACACAAGGACTATACATACTAGCTGTCCTTAATTTTTGAAATTCTAAGAGCCTTTGAGTGAAAGCAAATGAGAATATGTTATGTAAACTACACTACACCTGTTATATTAAGTGCTGATGAGGCATTTTACCTAATACCAGGGTTCATCATACCAGCTGGGATACAACAGACATAGTAGTGGTCAAAATGATATATATGTATCATTTGTTTTAAGTCAAATTTTTAGGTAAGAATTAATAACAACATTACTTATTTTATTTTACAACTGTTTATCAATTTTATTTATATATTATTTATTATTATTAATTTCAATTAACTTTGTTATCATTCACTAGAACTGGTGAACCAGCAAGCTAGTATTCTTGAAATGACAGACTAGCATGAAGACAGGTAGTCAACAGCACCCACTGCAAACTCTTGGGCTACTCTAAAATGCATCCAGCTCTCCAAAATGCACAACACATTTTTCAGCAATGTGACTCAAACCACGGATCCTTAGATTCACAGGCCATCATGCTGACTACTATGCCACACCCAGCTGAAGACTCATGAAATGCACCACAATGCACTGTTGCTGTTTTTATCTATTTATTCTGAAGTTCAGCAAGTTCAAACTTTTCTTTTTCCCCAAAAATCTGCACAGTCTTAATATTACATTAGTTTCCCAGGGGCTCCCTACACCTCTGAAAGTAAGTTATTAAAAATAATGAAAGTTTGTTCCAATGATGTACACTTAAGGTTTATGGTTCGCTAAGAAGCATATTGTTAAAATATCAGTTTCTTCATATCACATAACTTTAAAAGCTTCACAAAATAAGTATATTTTCATATTAAAGGTTTGTAATAAACTTACTTTATCACAGTTTTTAATATTTCATCTTAAAATCTCTAATAACCATTTAAGTTTTATCTCCTAAAAATTAAAAACATCATTTTCTTAATAACTACACTATTTTTTAAATGTGTAATAGTATTTTATTTTTTAACTTGCTGGTTTCTACCTGTAATAATAATAAGTTCACTAAATTCTTCACCATAGACTTATCAATGGGGACCAACTTCATCGAACCTAACTGAACTATTTATACATTAAATTGCTTGTGAATCCATGACTTTGGTGGTTATAAGGACCCCAGTGGCATAAGATCACTGGAAAAGTTTATTTCTCTCAACAGGGGCTCGGTCCATTTGGCCGACCACGTGACCTCTTTGTACATTAAATTGCTTGTGAATCCATGACTTTGGTGGTTATATGGACCCTAGTAGCATAGGATCACTGGAAATGTTTTTTTCTCTCAACAATTTGACTGACCATGTGACCTCTTTGTACTTGTTTAAAGTCTTTATAGATTTAATACTTCTAACTTTCAGTATAGTGTATATATATATCTTCACAAAATTTGACAGTCTTTCAGTTAACATACAAAAAATCATATTTTTTAGTGAAATATTTTTAATAAACTAAAATAAAAATTTGTTCAAACATATATATAAGTATTTGTTTTAAATAGTCCTTGTGCAAAATAATTTTCATGTTAAGATTAAAAATACTTTCCTTCATCTCAAGAATCTCAAATTTCCTTTCCATAATCCCTAAAATCTCCTAAATACATTTCAAACGTTTTTTTTCAGTAAAACTATATTTTATATGTTATTTTCTCTACCCTATTTCTAAATAGGATCGGTCAATTTAAACGACCTCTTAACTACCAAAAAACAACAACAAAAAACAATTGAAATAAATGTAAATTATCCTTTTTTCTTTCTAGAATGTCTTCAAATTGTAACATGAAACTACATTCATTTATCCTAAGTAGCTTAAAGATCGTAACAGTATTCATCTATTTATAATTAAATTTTATTGTTTTATTGCCCTTTGAACCATGTATAACTACTATCCATGCCATTATAAGTTGTAAATCACTTGGGGAACACGCAGCTTACATTACACTATCGAATTACATTACCCACAAACTACTCACGTGCATGCCTTGTGAAACAGTTTAATTATATTATTATTATTAATTTTACCTAATCTAATCTTAACTAACCTGAAAATGTTCCCTATTTTTACATTTTAGTTACTTTTATAATAATAAATAAAGAATAAACATGAAAAACAAGAAATAAAGTACTTGTCCAATCTTCTTTTTTCTTGCTGTCGATTGTTGATGACACTTAACCCTACTTGTTTTTTTATATTGATGGTAGTAATGCACTAAATAATTTTTATTTAATTCCATAACGCACCAAAGAACATAGACTAATAACATGCAAAAAGTAGACAATTTTCTCTAACTCTCAAAATTTTACTGGCTTTCTAACTATGTGACAAAAGCATTACAAATTCATCTAAGCTAGTCATTAACTTTTCAGTGGGAATGAAGTTGTATTCTGAGTGAAATTGACAATTTGGGCTTTCTACTGGTTATAGGTAATATATAATTACACATAAGAGAGAACTATTAACAAATCCTGAAAGAGAGGATGCAACAGGAGTTTGATTTTCTATTTGACAGCTCTGTAACCAAACAAAATTGAAGACTATAAACATTATGGTTTGTCTGAGCAATGATGATGTTATAGTGAGTAAATTACATTTAATTTTGTAGTTACTGGAGAGGTGGTGGATAAAATAGAGAAGATACAAAGAGAAAATGTGTCACGTGTCACACTAGCAAAAATTTAGGATTTTTTTAAATACTGCTTTACAGAATCAAGAACTTAAAACTTGTATACTATTAAAATATGGATTATTAGCTAAGATTTTATGCTATACTAATTGGTATCAAATGTTGAATGTAAGGCACTAGAACCTTGTGTCTTGTGCAGTAAAGGATATCTGTGGTAATTGGGTTAAAGAGAATTAACATCAATATTACATTTAATCCTATTAATTACTGCAAGGATTTCCTATGTATTTTACATAGAAAATGAGTGACTTCACCCAAGTCTTTTGGTAATTTCTTTACAATTACTGTTCTAACAGCCAAAAACATGACATTATTTAATACAATGCAATATGTGAGCCCCACCAGCAGTGAATGATATGAAAAGAAGCTGGCAATTTGAGGATTAACAGAAACGTACCATATAATAAAAATGTTATGATAATGGTCACAGCTCCAGAGAATAATCCAATAGTCAAATTTTGGATGCCAATCCCACTTTCCTGTGCTTTATCACTTTGAACTTCCAAAGATTTGTGAAGAATGGATGTATGATCCCGAATAATTAAGATTCCAACATAGCTCAGCCAACCAAGAAATCCAAACAGAATACTGCAACTAAAGAATAAAACAGAATTATGAAACATTAAAAATAATCACTTACTCAATATGTACATTCAGTTTTGACAAGTGTATAGTTTACAAGAAAATATATGAAGAATCAAACAAAACAATTATATTTCATTATTTTACAGAGACCAAATTCTTCTTATGATTGATTAAAGAATTAAGATATCACACCACTAAATAATTTTTCCCACTAAAAGCAAAATTTTTGTATAAATTAAGTGCTATTTCCATGAACAGGAGTAACCTTCAACACCCAATGTTTCAGTGTAGCCATGGGTATACTCCAATTGTGTAGCTGGATATAATACTCCAACATTGTGACACTGGATATACTCCAACAGAGTGACCACAGACATACCCAAATGTCACTGAAAGCACAAAATTTAGGAGTATAATAACCAGTAAGTTTTAAAATAAATTTATTTTATTTCAGTAAATAAACTTGCATAAATCTGTAAAATTTAAACTCTTACAGTGTCACTTTTATACATATAAGTTAAGGATAACAAGGGGCATCTTTGTACATCTAAGCCATCACATACACTTTATTAAACTCTAAAATAAAAGTAAAGCTACCCTTATCATTCAGATATTTATCCCCCACATCTGAAAGCCAATCATTCCAAAGGCCAACCGTCCTGTTAGAAAATAAAGCTGTCTTACCTGAAGATCACTCTTACCCTGTCAAAATTTATATTTGTGTCTCCTAGTCTTACCACTCTCACTATTAGATACATAAAATGGTGATGCATAAACACTATCAATTCCCATTACAATCTTAAACATCTCCATCAGATTCTAACTCTTCTTTTTTCAAGAGAAAACAATTTCAGAAGTCTTAACCTCTTCTCGTATGTCAACCTTTCCATCTCAGGCATTATCCAAGTAGCCCTCCTCTGGGTCCTTTCCAAAAATTCAGTGTCTTTTCTAAGATAAGGAGCCCAAGACTAAACACAATGTTCCAAGTGCGGCCTAACTAATGATCTATACAATGGCATTATAACCTCTTTAGACGAGTATTCAATATTTCTGTAGATAAACCCACAATTCTGTTTGCCTTACCACTAGCAATAGTACATTTTTAGGATAGCATAAGAGATTGGTCAACCAGAACACCAAAATCTTTTTCTTCCATGACACTGTTAAGATTATTCCCATCAAAATTATACTCATAATTCCAATTGTGATATCCCATATGCATTACTTTGCATTTATTATAATGAAAAGAAATCTGCCATTTATTCACCCAACTCACCAAATAATCAAAATATTTTGTAAAGGAGCAAAATCATCCTTACAGCCAGCAACACTCAAAACTTTAATATCATCAGCAAACTTAAATAATTTACTAACTACTCCTCCATCTGTGCCATTGGTGTAAATCAAAGAGAGCAAAGGTCCTAGCACTGAAGTGCCCCACTTATGACAAGAATCCAGCTTGACTTATCTTCATTTATAAAAACCCACCCAGTATTATATCCTTACGTGTGCCCTATTCTCTGATCAGTGGTGGGAATTTCTCCCTCCAGTTGGCTGAAGTTGAGGTGAAAACAGTATGATCTTCTCTCCTACTCCCACATCAATGTCGGTTCCCAGTGGTTGAGTTCTGGATTGTAGTTGACTTAATGATGGTATGATCCTTGTACACATGGATGTCAGTTCCAGAGGTTGAGTTTTGGACCTATTCAATGTGTGATTCTAGCTATGTATGTGAGCAGAAGTAAGATGCTTTGTCAGAAGCTATAATTTTTCTACACTGAAAATATATTTCCAATAGGAACTTACTTCCACTCACATTCCCCACTGTCTACTAGTGTGTAGGTTTCTGCCTGAACTCGAAGTGATAGTAAGATAGAATATCATAGAGGGAGTCACGTGTGTGGGGCACGTCTGTTGGTGGAGGTTTATTGCAGGACAATTTGTATGTGTGAATGAGTTAAACCATGTGAACCGAGGGGTACATGGGAGTGAAAAGCTTGTGGCATGTGAAAAAGATTCTGCAAATAGAGGGCAGCAATTAACAAGAATAGCTATATTACGTGAGCAGAAGTAAGTACCTGTCAGAAATATATTTTCAGTGTAAGAAATTATAACTTTGCAAAGTTTACATTTTGTTGGATAGCCAGCATGATTTCAGTGGGGAGAAAATCATGCCTTACTAATCTTTTGATATTTTTTGAAGAGGTTAATGCTTATGTGGATGAGGGTTAAGGTGTGGATTTGGTGTATTTGTATTTTCATAAATCATTTGTCAAGGTGCTACATAAAAGTCTTGTTCAGAACATTATCTCTGTAGGTGTGGAAGATTAGTTGGATCATTTCCGAGCAAAATACATAGATATCCCACTCAAATCAAACAGATTGGAACACCTCAAGTGCAGTAACATCTTTGGCATAAAGACATTGAGGGTTGGTGCAAGAGGAAGAAGCATTGCAACCAACAAATGTACCCACCATGGTCCACAACACCAAAGCAGTGCAACTGAAGCAAAATGAGTGATGCACCAAGCACCCCCTGAACACATGTGTGAGGACCTATGGTGAGTGGTTTGGCTCTAAATCCCAAACTCAACCTCTGTGAACCGACTTCCATGCAGGGGTAGGATGAGGGATCCCAATCAAAGGGGAGAACTGCATATATGCCAACAGGCCACATGTGTGAGTACATTAGTAAATCGAAAACTCAACTGCCAGGAACCAACACCCATGTAGAGATAAAATGAGGGATCCCAATTACACGATGTGTGTGATGACATATTGTGATTGATTCAGCTCTAAATCCAAAACTCAACCACTGGGAACTGACATTCATGCAGGGGTAGGATGAGGGATCCCAGTCCTCTCAATATGAGTGTGGGCAATAGGGCAATTGGTTCAGCTCTAAATCCAAAACTCAACTACTGGAAACCAACTTCCATGCGGGATCCCAATCATTATGGTGCCTCATTCAAAAGCTACATTCTGTCAACTACTAAAAGCAGAACACAGCCTCTATACTCTCACCTGAATGGATTCTACATTGCTTACATTGTAAATCTCTCATTCAAGAGGATACATCCATGGTCCACCACCCCAGCAGTTTGGAACTGGAAAGTGGTAAGGACTTTCTTACAACACTGGAAGAAATGGGGGTAGAAAATGCAGTGGAGAGACTGAAGGAATGTAAACATCGGAGACGGTACAATGGGTGACCACAAAACCTAATTTTGAAAAGCGGACCAAGCCCAATTTATTCAATCTAAGGTATGGCAGGGATGAGCAGCAATCCCTTTCTGCTTTACCCATGAAGTCCATGGGTCAGTACAATCCAGAACAGGCATATTTATGAAGTAAATATGTCATGAAGAATAACCTATGAGTGATCTTGTGGAACATCCCACCTCTAGTATATGTAATAGTAAAGAACAGTGAGCCTTTGGTGGCCATAAAAATTATGAAAGTGAAATCAACATGGTCTTACAGTGTGAATTTGAGTACAAGTCTAAGTGATTGAAGTATATCTAGAGAGGCTCCACTCACCACAGAGTGGGATCCAAATAGAAACATGGGACAGGCCCCCTGAAAAATAAATATAATGAAAGAAAGAAACCTTACCAAGTTATAGTTGCACTGAAGTCTGAAAAATGGCAACAGGTGGAAGACAATAACCTGACAAGGAAGAAACAGCAACATGATGCAGATAGTAAGAGATGAAAGTATGCAAAGTGTTCCACATGCCTGCTTGAACAATTTCCTCCAGGAGATGATGCAGATGAGATATCAGAGAAGCATTAAGGTGCCTGGAATAATTGACGAAAAAAAGGGAGACAAGGAAGAATAAGCTAATTGAATTAAAAGCTGAACCCAGTTGGTGAGGGTGGAAAAAGAGAGATCACAAACAGAGGATAGTTGCCAATGGATGAATAGACAGGAACAATTATGATGGAAGGAAGCCGTGCGGGTGATATAACAATGAGAAGGAAGAAATACCCCCTCAAGCCACCAAACATTGATCCTGGTAAAGCAGAAAATAAGAGGAATGATACAGAGTATGTGGGACGTCAATGGCAAACAAATCTGATTGATGATGTCCATAGGCTAAAAGGAGGAGGAAATATGCTTTAAAGAATAAATGAAACACGGAACAAGACAAAGGTTCAAATTGAGGTAAAGTATGGTAGTGAAGCACCACAATGACTTTCCAATCTTGAAGGGCCACACAGCATGGAAGGCAACTAATCTGGAAGGAACATAACAAGAGTGACAAGGTATGGGAGGAAAAAACTTTATAGTACCAGTAAAAACTTAAAGTGTGGGATAAAGTCATTTGATAACCAGAGATGGAGGAGACTGAAGTCCCCTGATCAAATAACCAAGTGAGGATATCCATAATGTAATAAGACGAACAGTGGGATGAGCAGGGAAGAATCCACGACCCAAAGACTAACAGCAGAAAATATTCCACTTACTTTGATAAACCTCCATGGAAGAAGGTCGACAGAATGTGCCAACAACAAAGCTACTCGTTGAGATAAACCGGATCTTCTCATCAAGGAACAGATAAAAACCAGGCGTGAAGACAAAGGGTAGGAATGGCAGGATGAACTACCTGGGACCGAGACTGCTGTAGCAGGGATGTAGTGCTGGGAAGAGCCAAAGGTGGAGCAGATTTGATTAGGTGCAGCCGCAGAAACCATGGCTGGGCTGGCCAGTAAGGGGCAATTAGAAGGACTGGACATGGAGTGGAGGATAAAATCTACACTTGGAAGGAATCTGTTAGGAGGATACACATACAGGAATTTGTCTGTCCAATTCTGACTGAATGCATCGAGAGCCAGAGCAAGTGGATGAGGCACCAGAGACCAAAACTAAGGTAACTTAGTACTGACGACAGTGGTAAATGCATCCAGGTGTGTAGCACCCATCCAAGTGCATAACCACTGGAAAACTTGAGGATCTAGAAACCACTCCATCGGACAAATTTTTGTCCAGTTTGGATAGACAATCTG